TGTCTCACCAGTAGTAAGGTGAAGGCAGGAAGGAGGGGGGACGTTCACAGGACCCTCTTAATGCGAAGGCAATCCCCACAGGAGGAACCATCAGGCTGTGACCTGACTGACTACACTATTATTTATCTTCAAGTTGACATGAATGATGTTAACTACCACAGGCTAGGAACTATTGTAACGATTTATAGGTGTGAAACTATAGCGCATAGTACCCTGTCCTATATGTTGCTATGAGTCAGAATTGACCCAGTGACAGTGGTTTGGTTTTGTTTGCTTTTAATCAAAATGGGCTTGTGGTTCATAATAAAATTTGGATACCAAATAAGAGAGAATGAGAAAGAATTGATACATTTGAACTATGGTGCTGACGAAGAATGTTGACCGTACCATAGACTGGAAGTACAAACAAATCTGTCATGGAAGAAGTACAGCCAGAATCCTCCGTAAAAGCAAGGATGGTGAGGCGTCCTATCACCTATTTTTGTCATGTTATCAGGAGAGGCCAACCTCTGAAAAAGATTGGTAAAGTAAAAGGACAGTGAAAACGAGGAAGATCTTTGATAAGATAGATCAACACAGTGGCTGCAACAGTGGGCTCAAACATAACCACAATTGTGAAGATGGCCCAGTACCTGGTAGTGTTTTATTCTGTTGTGCGTAGGATCGTTATGAGTCAGAGCCGACTCAGTAGCGCATAACAATAAAATTTAATGATAGCCTTTAGTTTGGTGTCACCCAAACTAATTCTTGGTTTTATGGGACTTTCTAAATCAGTTAGTATGTGATCAGACCTCACCTGTGAAGAAGACCAGCAATAAGGTGAATTGACACAGTGTCACAACACTGGGCTCAAACATAGCAATTACTGGGAGGATGGCACACTACCGAGCAGTGCTTTGCTCTCTGTGTGGTTGCAATGAGATGGAACCAATTTGGCAGCACCTAACAACAACCATCTGTTGTCATCTTTGTACCAAGTAAACTTTCTAAAGTAGCCTTTTAAAAATTGCATGCCTTTCTATCTAGTCTCCTAGGAGTATAGTTTAGAATGGCTTCTCCAGACTTTCTTGTAAAATATTGAGTTTAAGAGTTTTTGCATGAAAGTATTTTTTACTTGTTTACCGGTGGCACATTTAAGAATGTTACACAGAACACTGACTCATTACTAAACTTCTTATAGTGTTAGAAAAATGGATTCAAGAACTCTAATGCTAACAACTCTTTTTTGACTTTGGGATATTGATTAAAAATGGAGATTGCCTAAACTTTAGCATGAGAGTAACTTTTAGGAGCATTGTTTGATTAATGATTTCAAAAGTGAAGCAAAACCAGTTTCTTTATCTTAGTCAGCAATCATTGATGAATAATGATTTCAATATTAGTAAGTGATAGATTTGACGTAGGTAGAGAAATAATTTACCAGAGGGAAAATGAAGGCCTAGTTCACATTGTTTTCCTATATAATTATTCCTCCCTTCCTCTCCTCACCTCAGCATGTTCAATATTCATGATTCTTTTGTGCAACCAATTGTCACAATAACTTTTTATACTATCTGTATTCTGCCATCGAGTCAGTTCTGACTTAGAAACCCTATAGGACAGGGTAGTAGAAATGCCCCTTTGGGTTTCCAAGGCTGTAACCCATTGGGGAGTAGAAGACCTCATCTTTCTCCCACAGAGCAACTGCTGCTTTGGAGCTGCTCACTGTGTAGTTAGCAGTACAGATATTTAGTGGGATATTCAGCTCTGTGGAAGATTTCGGCACATGAATAGACCTACTTTTAAAGCTAATAGTCTGCTTGTGACAAAAAATATACATACTTGCTGAATTCTAAATTGAGAATTGAAGTAATCTCATTTCATGCTATTTGTCACAGCTCACTCTCTTTCGCTTTTGCAGCTTGGACAGTACATGGCATAATACTAGTGATTTCTTGTGTTCTCTTTTCTGTTTTTAAAAAAATCATCTTATTGGGGGCTCATACAACTCATCACAATCCATACATACATCCATTATCTCAAGCACATTTACACATATGTTGTCATCATCGTTTTCAAAGCATTTTCTTTCTACTTGAGCCCTTGGTATCGGTTCCTCCCTCAAACCCTTGATAATTTATAAATTATTATTATTTCATATCTTGCACTGTCCGATATCTCCCCCAACCCCCTTGTCTGTTGTCCATCCCCCTAGGAGGGGGTTATAGGTAGGTCATTGTGATCAGTTTCCCCTTTCTACCCCCATCTCACCCTTACCCTCTTGATGTGGCTACTCTCAATATTGGTCCTGAGGAGTTTATTTTTCCTATATTCCCTGTGTTTCCAGCTCTTATCTATACCCGTGTACATGTTCTGGTCTAGCCATATTTGTAAGGTAGAATTAGGGTTATGATATTGGGGGTGGGTTATGATATTGGGGGTGGGTGGAGGGCGGGGAAGCATTAAAGAACCAGAGTAAAGCTGTTTGTTTCATCAGTGCTGCACACTGCACCCTAAGCAAATATGAAGAAAGCTGATGGTGCCCAGCTATCAAAAGATATAGCGTCTGGGGTCTTAAAGGCTTGAAGATAAGCAATTGGCCATCTAGCTGAGAAGCAACAAAGCCCATGTGGAAGAAGCACACCAACCTGTGTGATCATGAGGTGTTGATGGGATCAGGTATCAGGCATCAAAGACTCAGAGCAGAAAACCATAATATGAGTGAGGGGGTGAATGCAGAGTGGAGGCCCAAAGCCAATCTGTAAGCAATTGGACATCCTCTTGTGTTCTCTTAATGTCAAAAGGTAGTCAGTGAAAGAATCTAAATGATTTTATCAATAATTGGTAAGTGAACCAACCACACTAGTGTATTATGATGTGTGAATATGGTTATTTCACTGTTTCATTGTAATTTTTTAATGAAAACATGTAAACAAAAAAAGCAGTTCTAAGGAAAATTTAAATTTACTTTTGAAGTTAAAAGATGTTCTAATTTTAGTATAGCACTGACAAAACATACAACTTTCCTCTAGTTCTTTAATGCTTCTTTCCCACCTCTAGCATGACACCAATTCTATCTTATAAATCTGGCTAGACCAGAGCATATACAGTGGTACAGGTAAGAGCTGGAAACACGGGGAATCCAGGACAGATAAACTCTTCAGGACCAATAATGAGAGTAGTGATACCAGGAGGGAAAGGGGAAGGTGGGGGGAGAAAGGGGATTCCAATCTCAATGATCTACATATAACCCCCTTCCAGGGGGACAGACTAAAGAAAAATGGGTAAAAGGAGACAGCTGTCAGTGTAAGACATGAAAAAAATATATATAAATTATCAAGGGTTCCTGAGGGAGGGAGGGGAGTGGAGGGGGAAAATGAGAAAGAAATGTTTTGAAAATGATGATGGCAATATATGTATAGACGTGCTGGGCACAATGGATGGATGGATTGTGATAAGAGCTATATGAGCCCCCCAATAAAATGATTTAAAAAAAGATGTTTTTTTTTTTAAGATGTTCTATTTTTGATAGAGTAATTGCTGGTTGAAATTTGGAATAAAATACTATCAAATGGTTCCTTATTTATTGGAGAGTGAAGATTTTCCATATTTGAATATTTGCTTCTGCTAGTCCAGATTATTTGACTACATTGTCTCTAAATTTAGGTCATTTTTTTGGTGTGTGGGTTTGTTGAGAAACTGTTGAAAAGCCAATGAGTGATAGATTCTTTCAGAAAATCTGATAGATAAAAAGAGAAGGGAGGACCACAAAGAACATAGAAGAATGGGAATAAAGAAGGCATTTATGTCACCATTTGAAAATTGTTGGTTTGGCATCAAATTTACTATTGTCTATGAAACTGTTTCTGTGGTTGTTCGGTATTGTTGAGTCATTTCCAACTCATAGCAACTCTGTACCACAGAAGGAAGCACTGCCCAGCCCTACATCATCATCATCATCAGGATGCTGTTGTGTTTGAACCCATGCATTATTGCAGCTACTGTTAATGCATCTCCTTGAAGGGCTTCCTCTTTTACTATCACTCTCTACCAAGCATGATGTTCTTTTCTAGGGACTGGTCTCTTCGGATAATATGTTCGAAGTAAGTAAGAGGAAGTCTAGCCATCCTCACTCTAAGGAGCATATTCATACAGTTTTCATTGGCTCATCCTTCAGAAGTTGACAGCCTATTCCTTCTTCCTACCTGTTCAGCATGGGCGAGCCTGTTGGTATTTTAAATACCTGTGACACACAAGTCACCAAAGTACAACAAACTGACAAATGAATGGTAGATTGTCCAAAATGAAAGAAATTACTGCTCATTGAAAACACTCTTAAAAACTTCTGAGACTTAGGAAATTCACATAATAAAGATTCATTAGTGAGTTAAATCATATTCAAATGTTGCCCTATGGGTTTAAAATTTTATTGTAAAATCTGACCCAGAATAACCTTTCCAGCAAATTCTATGCTTTAGGGCATTTGTAACTTAAAAAAAATCTCAGGACTAAGCTAGAAGAAGAAAATGAGATACAATTCTATTTTTAAGTATGATTGTATGGTCTCATTTCATAAGGAAAGCTTAGTCCAATTCCAATATTTACTGCTAAGCATATTATATAAGGAAAGCTTCATACTCTGCAAAATCATGCTCTTCCTTTTTCATGTCCTGTTTTGCACGTACCTACTTCTGTTTGTGTTAGTCACCCTCCCTCGGTAAATTGTCCATGAGACCAATGATTCTATCAGCAAATTATCCAGAAAATGCTGTCTTTGCACGTTGTGACAGATCATGTCATTGGTGGATTTATAGCTACTCCAGTGGTTTAGTTACCTGGCACTTGTTTCCTGTGTCCAACACTGTTGTCTCATTGCCTGGGCATCTTCGTTTTCATCTTCTCATTACCTTCTCACTTGGGTAGGGCTCAGCTCTACCATTGTTTTGTTTTGTTAAGTTTTTTCCCCTACCTACTCCTACTTAACTTCCTCATTACCCCCTCTTCTTATTTTTCATTGGCAGTATCATCCAGACAAACAAAGTGCAGATGTGCCAGCAGGAGCAGTGGAGGAATGCATACAAAAGTTCATTGAAATTGATCAGGCGTGGAAGATTCTAGGAAATGAACAGACAAAAAAAGAGTATGACCTGCAACGGCATGGTGAGCAGCCACAGCACACTGGCAGTTCTTTGAAGCATGATCTGCAGCCGTGTCTGTGGAGCATTTCCTGGGAGTTTGTGTGTTTTGCACCGTTATTACTGCCTTCTCCATTCCTCCCCCCATCATTGTTTTAAATTAAGTCTTATTTTTAGTAGCGATTATTGTATATTCTTTGAGAAGTCAACAAAATTACTAAGAGAATGTGGCTTCTCAGGAAACTGAGAGCTACTTTTTATAACTAATAAGAAAAGTGTTTTAGTTATTTAAAACAGTTTGTTTATTTTTTTTGTAATTTAAAGACTTCTTTTTGTTAAATTTCATTATGTATTGATTAAAATTTTAGCTGTAGAATGTTGTCTGAAGTACCATCTAACGCATTGGTTCTCAACCTTCCTAATACCGTGACCCTTTAATACAGTTCCTCATGTTGAGGTGACCCCCAACCATAAAATTACATTCATTGCTACTTCGTAACTGTAATTTTGCTACTGTTATGAATCATAATGTAAATATCTGATATGCAGGATGTATTAGGCAACCCCTATGAAAGGGTCGTTCGATCCCCAAAGGGGTCGCAACCCATAGGTTGAGAACCGCTGCTCTAAAGGAAGATACTACATGGGATGGCATCCTGATGCACTCTTTGCTGCCTGTCTCTGAGATTATTTGAAGCTAGGTTTCATGCTTATCTCTAGAATAGACTATATGAGCTTGTTCTGAGTGTTATTTTAGGAATGCAGATTACTTAACTGGTTTTAACAGTCATTTCTTTTATGCAGTTTGGAAAATAGCTTTTTAAAACAGTGACAAGCTGTTGTGAAAAGAAAGCGAGAAATGTAGGTCAGGTTTTGTCACACATGAACTGCAGTTGCACAAAGTGATAGGCTATCTCTCTGCCCTGGCCAATGGTGGGAGTCTTTCAGCCTTCTATTTGAACCTTCAGTATACACCCTGCACTCTAATAATGCACGTCAATCATCAGTTACAGCCTGTGGGGAAAACACTCAATTGCACTCTCCATTAGTGCTCCTGGCTCACATTGACCGTATGTGTTGATAAAAGCTCACTGTCTAGTTATTGAATCCTCTTCCGTGCCAATGCTAGCACACCATCAGACCTCACAAGTTATTTATTATTATTATTTTAATTTCATTCAAACTACTGTAGTTAATGGAAAAAGGACTTCTTAAGTACAATTTTTAAATTTTATTTTGGAGGACATCATTTTTTAAAAGTTTTATTATTGGCATGTAATTCACATATCATACAATTTAATAGTTCAGTCATATTAAGAAGAATTTTACAATCAGCACCACAATTTTAAAACATTTTCTTCTTTCTTGTACTCATTTTTATTAGCTCCCCGTTTACAACTAACCTCCCCTGCCATCCCCCTAAGAAACCATTAATTCACTTACTGTCTCTCTGAATTTACCTCTCCTGGATTTCATATACAAAAGAGCATTGAAAAAAGTAAAACTGATAAAAAAAAAAACCCTCCACCAAAAAGAAAGTAGAATATATTAAAAACTAGAACCCTTTTAAAATGGGTCAAAAAGGAATGCAATGATAAGTTACTACATTTTAAACCAACCACATCTGCCATAATCGACTTTGCAATGCTCTCTGTCTAATGGCAAGGCTGTTCACATCCCTCAACCATGTTCATAGGGGATTCATTTGAGCCTTAATCCATGTGTGAACCCTGCAAGTGGATTTTGGGCTTCCACTGTCGTCCACTTGCCTCTGCAAACCAGGTGTTCACAATGTAAGCTCCAATACTATTTCCCCCTTCAAATTTTAATTTTATTATTTAAAATTCTTGAAGCACTGATGTGCTTCAAGGCTGATGTGTCTCTTCCATGTTAACTTAGCTGAGCCCTCACTTAGATGCCTAATTGTTTGAAAACAGTCTTTTAAGATCCCAGATGCTTGTTTGTCTGATTGCCAGGCACAATCTAGTTTTTTCATCACACTTTGCTGTAGAACCCATATCTTCAGGGATCTGTTCATGAGGACCAGCATCAAGCAGGGCCATGTCATAAGAACGAATTGCTCTTAGATTGGGGCTAGAATTAAGTTCAGGTCCAAAATTTATCCATATATGATTTATATATGTCAGGTTCACCTTAGGTACTCATTATCATTTTACCTCACAAAGTTTTTTTAAGGTGCCTCCTACAAAGGTTAAGAGTCCCGGTGGCACTGCAGGATAGGCAGTAGGCTCTTAACTTCAGGGTTGATGGTTCAAAACAACTAGCTGCTTCACAGGACAAACATGAGGCTGTCTGCTCTTATGAAGACTTACAGCCTCAGAAATCATAAGGAAGTATTTCTACTCTGTCATATGGGATCACTATGAGTTGGAATCAATTTGATGGCAGTGGGCCTCACTAAGATTGTGAATATTTCTTTTGAGAATAGGAGAAAGCCAATGATGTAAGTGGAACATCCATTTCTTTTCAGAAGGTGTTGTACCAGTAACGTGATGTTTTAAGTAATGTGTGATACATAGTCTTCCTCAGCTATTTGTTAAACTAACTGGAGTATTTTTTTTAATAGTGATCTATTCAGTGAATAGATCTGGTTTTGTTTTTCCTTTTTTAAGATGAATGAGATAATTTCTTTAGAAAATGTTTAAAATTTTGACATTTATCACCAAAAAGGTCCATTAGTGTCCAAACACAACATTTTGAATATTGGGTTCTATTTTCATTTGGCACATTTACAGCATATCTTTTGTAAATGTGTTTGTACTTCTGGAAAAACAATGAAGTGCTGCTGTTTGAGCTTAAACTCTGTTCATAGATATATCTTTTTATTCTTGGGTCACATGATTGCTGTGAAATTATTGGCACTAGCACATGTGAATGTATTGTGTATGAGAAGTTATCTGCATTCCTGAAATCCACCGAACTCTACAGGAGATGAGGATTCTTTCCTGCACATATGAGGCTTCATTATGTGGTGCCTTTTTGCTTAAGAAAAGATAATTCACATATAACTGTATCCTCAGGAGGAGCGTAAGGTATACCCTTGCACTGTCACTCTGCATTTTTGACACTTCATGAAGCCTGTGTACTTTTTAATATCATGTTAGAGAAATGGACTAGAAACCTGTCCATTTCGGAAAGGGTAAAAGAGAAATTTGGAATTAAATATTCCTTCATGGTAGGATATAGGGTGTGATAGACCAGGTATGGAAAGGAATAGGAAACAGGCTTAAAAGTGACCATTAATAGGATCACATGAAGCAAAGTTTAGGGGGTGTCAGAAGAACAAATGATCATCATTGCCCTGCTTTTCTTTAGAACTGGAATTATTTGAACTCTCAGTCCTAGGTTTTAAGGTTTTAATGATAGAAGCAGTTGCTGTCTAACGTCTCGGTGAATGCTTGGCGGTACCTGATAAGGTCAGAGAAATTTAGATACACCAAATACAATGAGAAGTCTTATGATTCAGATCAATAGGCAGATCTTCTGCTTGGAATTTATATAATATTAGTTTGCATATTTTTCGAGACTGATTACCAAGTTAGGCTATTCTAGAACAATATAAATAACTTTTTTGACATTTTTGTGCCTCAGATCTTTTAGTAGGCAGAGGGTGCTTCAAAAGTTTATGGGACAGTAGAATTAAAAGGTGATGGAATCTTCCCACAAACGTTTCGAAGGCCCTCAGATTCCCTTCCTTCCCAGAGGCTTTAAGTAGTGAGACTGCTTGGCTTCCATTCTAAATGGAAACAGGAGGGAACAGGAGGGTCTCTTAATCAAAGAAGAGCATAACCTCATTTTTTTTAACTTATACCAGAGCAATGTTTCAAAAATGTGGTAATAAGTCTAGTTTTATGATTTATTTTCTTTTGAATACCAACATTGTTTTCCTTGGTTGATCCATCATCAGTAAAAGGCTCTTCAAAAGAAGGAAATGAACTTGAGCTTTTAGCAGTGAGGCTTTAGATTTGATAAAAAGTCAACCCCTGAGAGTGATAATTCATTAAAAAAACCAGGACAGATTACCAAGAGAGGGAGTATTTATTATCACCAAGTCAAAGCCCTTTTTTTTCCCCTGGGTCAGCCCCTTGGGGACATAGAAATAGCGTTGTTAAGCAGCACTCCTTTTGCAAGTGATGACAGTTCATTGTAAAACTTTCTTCTCATGTGGTGTGGTTTAAATATGTCTGTTTCCAGCCTTCATTAACTTGCTATATAAAATAGAACTGAGTCCGGTAATACTTGGGTAGGAGATAGGAGATATTTTATTGGGTGATGTTGAATACTTCTCCATATTTCACAGCTCAAAATGTATATTCTCGTAAGGAAAGCTACATCAATATTGGCCACAAGCATATATTTATTTAAAATATCACTAGAAGGAGCCCTTGGCATTTCCACAGTGACCCTGTAGGACAGAGTAGAATTGCCCCTCTGGGTTCCTAAGACTGTCAATCTTCATGGGAGTAGAACACTTCATCTGCCTCCTGCGGAGGGGCTGGTGGTTTTGAGGGTCAGCAGCCCAGCTCCTATCCCACTCCTCTCCACTAGGGAGGGCTCCGCAGTGACTGGGAGTTGACATCCATATTTCTTAGCCTCACAAAAGAAGTAATCAACATGCTCTTTCTAACAAAGGGGAAGAAAAAACCTGGGGCATATGATCTACAGTACAGAGGACACATTTTTTTTCTCTTTTCTACTTCTTAGCTAATATACTTTGTCCATGTTGCCCTGGCTGAAGAAAAGCAAAATCTAAAAAGGATAAATAATACTAAGTTCCCAGAGATTTTAAATTTTGAAAACAGTGCTAACTAATGAATGTAACCAGTTACTTTCCAATGGTCATATTTACCATACTGTTTCTAACGCATCTTCCATAGGCTGCTTCCAGTGTTCCCTGGAAAGGTATGCAGTTCTTCATGACTCGGCTTTGCATTCTGACTGCCCACTGAACACTTTGGAACGTTTTTTTTAGGATTTATAAAACATCTACCCGAAGACTAATCT